AGAAACAGACACAGAAACAGACACAGAAACAGACACAGAAACAGACACAGAAACAGACACAGAAACAGACAGAAACGGAACCAATGTTTCATTCACATTAGATAAGTTAAGAAAGAGAAAGGATGTAGATTGTGAAGACAGACTCAGTAGGTTCTCTACGGCACCATCGACTCTATACGGATTTAACAGCACTATTTAACAAGGACTAAAATCAAGAACGTGTACTGGGATCAGTCTTTTAGTTTTGGTATGAGTTTTACGGCACTGGCAACACAATAAGGTCATATAAGTGCCGAAGATTAGAAGTGTTACAAGAGAGTAACGGAACAGAAAAAATAAGGAGGAGAGATACGTACGATAGATGTTTGATAGGAAAGAAGGAGCAAACCACAAAAGAACACCCGCCAATCACCCACGTACTAGGATCAAACTGCCTCAATAAGAATAGAAACCAACATCAGGGAATACATGCAGATTAAAAGAGCAGTCAGACAGGGATGTGTACCTTCACCAGACATGCTCTCCCTGCATTCAAAAAACTGAAGCGCATAGAGCTTGCCAATGAGCGGGATTTGCTGATTGATTGATTGGGCAGATGTTTTACGGCACTATCGACACAAGCGGGATTTGCGCTATAAAATAAACACTATCTATTTCCTATTATTATAGTGAAAAAATTATGAGACACATAGAAAAAATGTCAGGTATTTCGATAGGAGGGCATAACGTAAACAATCTAAGATAGGCAGACGATGCAGTGCCAATGGCAGAAGAACAACATCTACAGAATCTATTAAATGTCATCGTACAAGAGTGATAACATGGGCCTACGTCTAACCATCAAGAAAACGGAAACAATGGGGAATAGCATAAAACGCTCAACCCAAACCTACAGCAACCCAACCCTACAGTATCAAAATCAATGGTACCACCTTCAAGCAAGTACAACATTTTAAATATTTGAGGACCATTATATCATCATCAGATGGGAGATGTCACACCGAAATTAAAAGCGCATTTCCCAAGCAAAAGCAACCTTCCACAAAATGAAACACTTACACAAACAATCTGTCACTGGAAACAAGAAAAAGAGTACTGAAAAAGTACATTGAGCCAATCCCATTATACGGGTGCGAAGCATGCACAATCAATAGACAGCTGGAAAGAACAATTTAGGCGACAGAGTTGTGGTTCATAAGACGCATGCTGTGTATCCCATGGACACCTAGAAAAACAAATGGAAGTTTTGGTTGAAGCAAATTGACAGACGACACCGTATGACGAATACACGAAAACGACAGGCAAATTTCATTGGATAAACAATGCGAAAAGAAGCATTGGAGAATATTGTAATAACACGCAAGTATGATGGAGGCAGAGGGAAACGATACTGGACAGGTTAACAACATAGCTGGGAACAGCAAGAACAACAGACACCATCGCTGCAACGAAAGACAGAGTGAAGTGGAGGTCCATGATCCCCTACGCAAGTCGGCAAGGCATCGGATGATGATTTAACAGCACTATCGACTATCGACACAGTTTACAGAGACACCGTTTTGATTGATTGACTGAGTAGGTGTTTTACGGCACTATCGACAAAATTTTTGGTCATGTAAGTACCAATAGGTTTTAGTGCAACAAATCCATGACCATGTCATGTTTTAGTAAGAGTTTTACGGCGCTTGTAGCTGCACCCGCTCATATCATCATCATGTTAAAAGGACTGATAGACATATGTGTAAATATAGAATAAAAACTTATTTACATTGGTATTTACAATACTAATTTCAGTGTATGTATATACACAGACAACAACACATTTCTATATCCTATCAAACAATCCTATTTCTTTAATAAAATTCTAAATTCAAAGACACACAGTACCGACTTCCTTGTCCACGTCCTCTACCAGACGAGACCTATAGCCAACGAGCCCGTGGATCCTGCTCACTCCAGCCAGACCAGCTAAAACGTCGTCCAGATTATCCAAGACTTCTGCAGGTCTGAGGACGGGGGGGGGGGGGGGGGGGGTAATAAATATAATTATTGTCATGATCCGTAAAAAGTTCGCGTTCCAGCTTTTGCATGTTGATATGTGAGGCAGCGTGGTGGAATCAAAGCTCTCGTCAAAATAAACTAAGTTAAGAAACTTGCATTTTTCCGCAGGTTGGTGAATTTTAGTTTTTTGGCTCATCATCTTTAATGCCCATTAAAGAACTGATTTCTGTGTGGATTTTTCTGAAAAAACGTTAATAAGGCACAAAAAATAAAACCTTTTCAGTTACCACGGACTCTTAAGCTATGGAAATTACTAATCTTTGACGGCCATTTTCTCATTAATTTTACCTCTGAAAACAGGTGACCCCCACTTTCATTGGCAAATATCTCGACTTGTATTCAAGATAAATGGATTTTTTCCCTTCCAAATAAAGACAAGTGAACAAGCTTTAAGACGATACCAATAACTCTACATGCCCAAAAATTGACGAGAGCCTGATTCCACCACGCTGCCTCACATATTGAAACAGGGCAACTATAAAAAGTAGAAGTCTCCCAATTAATATATCTACTCAATGATACTTTTACGCATGTGGACAAAAAGAATTATAAAAAAAATTGATGATTGAGTAATTGTTTTACGGCATATAGACTCGATTTTGGTCATGTAAATCCAACAAGTTTTATGATAACAGATCTATCACAGTGTTAAAAAGACGGACAGATATTTACAAAAATCTTTGTAAATATGGTAAAGACTTATTTACATGCGTATTTGCAATATTTATTTCAGTATGTGTATACATATGTATATGAAATTCAACGACAAGCACATCTGGTCGGGGTCGGCAGTTTAATACGTAACAACTGGCACATACTCTGTTCCCATGTTCTGCTCGCAAGAGACACTGACCACATGGCCTCGTGCTTATATGCTGCTCACAACACTGACAAGGGTCATCACTACGAAAGGACGAAGACAACTCACGACAGTTACGGGTGGTCACTGAGAATAATGGACGAGGACATCTGGACACTGACTTATTGGGTTAAGTCCCTTAAACATGTTTGACAGTGACAACATTACAGTATAATATTCACCGACAACTATAACTATACAAAAGCGTCTTGAGCTGTGTTCACACAGGAGTGGGCGCTATAGAAATGATCAACATTATTACATTTCTATATCCTCAGAAATAATCCAATTTCTCTAATAAAATTCAAAATAAAGGGATGCTCGGCAAAAACTATCTCCTTGGTCTGATTGATCGATTGAGTAGGTGTTTTACTGCACTATAGACTCCGTTTTGGTCATCCACTGTGTCTGTGACACTACATGTAGTTTGTTCCACATTGAGTCTTCAAATGCTTTCTGTCTATTATTAAATGCTTTCTGTCTATTATTATAAGTTTGATTTTCTATTATCCAATTATTGTCTATTGTCCGTATTTTGTCAATCAAAGCAAATTGTTAATTCCCCCCAGCCTGACTCGACCCAGTGACAGAAACATGCAATGTTTGACCCCTGATAAGAGATATGTGCACAACCTGTACTCTTTCATTATGGAAACTTTAACAAATGAGTGTTTTATTTGATGTGATGAGGGCCAATGGCATTAAACACTGAATGAAATTATTATTATAAGTTGGGCGTTGGGTTAAACAAATGCAATAGAACCTGCTCTGAAGGCCACCTCTACCTGAATTGGCCAATCTCCTGTATAAACGGCCAATTCCCATCCCCCCACCCCACTCAAACACCTTTGGCCACGTTGTACATTATAATGGCAATGTGTGTGGATGGTTGGCTGGCGCTCTAGTGTGATTTGCTCCTTTCCCATTAAACATCTTTCGTCCCTATCTCTCCTTTGTGTGTTTGTTACTCTCTTGTAACTCTTTATCTTTGCTATTTTATATGGTCGCTTTCAAGCACAAGAGGGCTATCACGGAAAATGCTATTTTGAGAAAATCGAAGGTTTTTGCCCCTTGTTCAGTTTCTTTAAAAGAAGAGGAGTTTTTTCTATAACCAAACAAATATACACACCAATGAAACCAAACTAACTTCTATACGTAGGGAAATGCCCACTTTTGGAGCAGGTCAAGATTTATGGAAACACCCTTGTCCTTAAAAGCGACCATATATGGCATTGTGTTCCAAGTGACGTAAAACTTACTAAAACTCGTCTATCTTCTACTTTTATTTATACGTTATTCTTTTGTACAACCTCTTAATCGTCGGCCGTTGTAGGACATTGCATTGCAAAGTGTCGCCAACCTCTCACTAAACACTATTTAAATGAGATTGTTATCACCATCGGTCTTAAGACGGCTACGGACCTTCTTGACATTTCGTCGCCTCAGAACTATTTTGTCCAAAGTACCTCTTTACTTAAGTACACTTTGGGACAACATTTTAATAGTTCTGAGGCGACAATTTATTGGTGACCGCCTTAGACGCTCCCAAACCGATCCCAAACCGCGATCCCAAACCGCGATCGCAAACCGCGATCCCAAACCGCGATCCCAAACCAATCCCAAACCAATCCCAAATCCCAATCCAACCTGTTAAACAGGTCCCTTAGGTACACTGTTCTCTCTCCGATGAGCATTTCGGCGGGAACCATCGAGTGTCCAAATCGGAAGGTGGCGGTGGAGAAGGAGTTGGTGATGCTTGGGTCCAAGGCCAGGTTTGGGGTGGATCGGCCTGTCTTGGACACCAGTTCGGCTAGGGTGGCCACCCGGCCGATGATTATTGGCAGCCAGTCGTTATAGGTGATCTTCTGAAGGAGAGCTGGAGGGTGGGGAGGGGGCGAGGGTGTGGCGTGGGGTGGGGGCGAGGGGGTGGGGTGGGGTGGGAGCGAGGGTGTGACGGGGAGTTAAAATATTGAAAGCAATACATTTTAAAAGTTTGACATGTTAAACACATATTTTGACATACAATTTCTCAGAACTAGGTACCGAGGATAACAGAACTTCGTAATTCTAGGGTAGCAACATGGCGCTGAGAGGTGGCAGAGGACACAGGGAGCTTGGGCCAGGCGTGGGGACAGCTGGGTTTAGTTTAGTTTTAGTAAAAGTTTAACGGCACTTGCAACACAACAAGGTCAGAAAACTGCCGGAGATTAAAGAAGTAACAAGAGAGTAGCAAACACAAAAAAGGAGGAGGAGAGAGAAGGACGATAGCTTTTCACATGAAAGAAGCAAACCATACCATAGCACCTGCCAACCATCCACCGGGGAAAGCTGGGGAAATTGGCCCAGGATCGAGGTTCGTGGAGAGTTGGTCTGGAGTTTTATTTTGAAAGAGTATACAGTATTAAGCATTGCAGAATAGTATTGTAACAACAGACAAATTTGATTGAAAGAGAGGCAGAGGCAGGCAGAGGGAAAAGATACTGGACAAGTTGACAACATGGCTGGGAACAACAAGAACGACAGACACCATTGCTGCAACGCAAGATAGACCGAAGTGGAGGTCCATGGTCGCCCACGCCAGTCGGCAAGGCACCGGACGATGAGGATATAGTATCCAGTTTGGGACCGAACCGAGTCATCGATTCCACCCAATAGTTTGTGCCTTGGTCTGGTTTCGATATCTAAAATAATAGGGGGGAAAGTGTTTCAGATCTGGGGGGCTCTCCTTACATTTTCAAGACTGGAAGTTCCGACTCAACCTCCAGTGTATTTTCGTTTTAGTAAGGTTTTACGGCGCTCGCAACTTCATACAACCTCTTCCTCCTGTGTTGTCGTCGGCTTATGTCCCAGATGGGACCACAGGCCTCAGTGAGTGACAGAACCATGCATGTTTGAGGAAAGGAAAGAACGACACAATAACAATCATTAAAATTTAGTGCATGGACAAGGCTTGTTTCAGTAAAGCGAAGCTCATCGACACAATAATGGTAATTTCAGGCTGGGAAAAAGTAAGACAAGGGAAAAGTAAGACCTACAACCACCCGCATGAGTACATGGATAAACCAAGACACACAAACAGAGGGAAAGAAAAGTAGGACCTAACAGTGACGCCCTCCAGCCACCCACAACCAGAACCATGGGTTGTTGGGTACCCATTATTCAATTGAGAACTGAGAAGATGCATGCAAGGTGAATCTAATCAGGAAGGATAAAACTATTATGTGGAATGTTTCTTTCCTTCACTTACCACCAACGATTTTCCTGGTGAGCTGGAAAATTTCCTCCGTGGAGTCCTGTGGCCGAAGTTTGGCCAGTTTTCTGGCAATCCTGTTGTGTTCTCGCACCCACAGTGTGTGCATGCTTGCCAAAGCAGGGTGTTCGTTCACTCTGGAATCTCCTAATGGTGGACACAAAACACACATTGATAAACACACATCGACATGTGTTTAGTTTTAGTAAAGTTTTTACGTGTGAGGAGGAACTTTACTGAGTATCTCCGTCTGTCTGCTAGGAAGTGGTATTTTCGTTTGTTTTAGTACGGTTGTAGATCGCTTGCAACTGCGTATGGTCATATGAGCGCCAAGGAATGGATGTCAACAGAGAAGTCCTTACAGGGAATCAGGCTTACCTCTGTAGCTTCAACAGCACAAAGTCTGCTTCGACTATCAAGGCACCCCGGAAATAGGGTCACAAGAGTGTGACAAATATTCTAAATAAGCAGAGGGAAAATGACGATAGTAAGGATTAGGGAAAAAAAGCAGTAGTTCCCTGTTGCAGTTCATGCACAGTTATGAGCAAGACATTGATGAATCAGCCCATTTACAATTACAATTCTACTGTGCTTAAACACATGTTAATATCCCCCTTTGGGAAGGTCCTAAAGACACTTCAGTCAGTAGCACTACTCTGGGGAGGGGGGCGGGGCGGGAAGGGTTAACTCCCAAGTAGGGGGTACACATTATGTCCGATCAGCAGACGACCAAAGACAATGCTGGGGCATATTTCGAACCATCATACACAAAGGATAAACACGAATTTGAAATTCATGGTATGCATGCTAAAGCTCATCGTGTTAAGTTTCTAGATTTAAAAAACTGAATTTAAAAAATGTATACGAATAACAAAGTCCTCTAACTCGCGCGTCTTCATGCAAGTGCCAACAGGTTTTATATTCGCAAATCTATCACTTGTAAATATGGTAAGTTTTATTTACATGCGTATTTACAATATCAGTTTCAAGTGTATAATATACATACTATACAAAAACTATTTTTGGAACCAATCCAATTTCTTTCACGAAGCCCAAAATCTTCCTTGGATCAACTACGTCAAAAAGAGTTGATGCCCCCCTGCATCTGAAATATTTCGAGCGTATACGATCAAAATCGACACATTCTGTTGGAATGTAGTAGTAGTAGTATAAGGTTTTACGGCGCTCGCAACTGCTAAGGTCATATGAGCGCGCGAAACACAAGTTGTTCACCTCTGCGAAAGTTCACTTCACGACTGGTAACTAATTTACTTTAAAATGCTAAAAAGTTAAAATAT